TTGAGAAATTACATGTATTAATTTTTGGATTCTCTTTGGAGAATTATTTGAACTTCTCTTTGTTTGAGAAATCATCTTTAGTGGTCAAATGACCATTATTGAATTCTCTTTGGAGAGTTATTGGAATTTCTCTTGATTTGAGAAATTATTACGGCTGTTCATTATACCAGATATTACGAGTAGTATTTATACCATATTCGAATGGTTTTTATACCATCAGAGAGTGTACTTCTAGATCGATTATCTATCGTGCAAGTAGTAATCGTACAATATAGAACTGAGTTGTTTTATCCTGGAGGCAGTACGGTAGTTCAACTGCTTTGTATAACTTTAGACAGTGTCGCGAAACGCCTTAAAAAGAGTGACCTAATCTGCGACTCAAACCGGTAATTTATTCAGTGGCAAATTTTCAAAACCGTAAAACTAACCTGATAAATTTTATATTGTTTATGTAATGTGGCTCTATTTTTTTTTAATAAGTAAAAATATATTCCAAGGATACAAAGGAATATCCTAACCGATATACAAAAACAACCTACCACCCTCAAGAAAAGCTCATACAAAAATTCACATGGGAAATTAACCCATTCATAGTAATTACAAGTATAAGCATTTTTGTGTTTCCTACCGCTCCACCACCAAAATAGAAGGACAATCCTATGAGCTACTATCTCAACATCCCAAATCTCCTCCATAAACATGGTATTGTTCCTACAAGACCACAAACTCCAACAAATTATCAACCATAAACCAACCGCATTATTGATATTGACATGTCTCAAATGCAACGTGACTATCCAATTTCTAAAATGCCCAAGGAGATCCTCATGATTATCCACCATCACCCTCAACCATCTACTAACAAAATTCCACATCTTTAGACTCTTGCAACAATGAATCAAAAGATGGACGACATTTTCCTCCTCAAGAAAGCAAAACAGACACACCTTATCACGAGGATTTGAAATCACGCCATGGACACAAAGGTTATCTCGTGTAGGAAGAATATTATGAAATAATCTCCACCCAAACAAAAATATTTCCAGAGGAGCCACCGCTAACCATAGCAGCTTGAAAGTTGCTCTTCTCGTTTCCCACACGTCAACACTAACAGTCCGCGAATGAAGCCAAAGAAAACCAGATTTTACAGTGTATTCTTTCGAGCTGCTATAAGGCCAAACTAAAGCATCCCGACCTTCCTTACTAACTAAGGCCTCTACCAATAACAGATACAAATCCTTTCCAACCACCTCCCAACAATGTTTGAAAAAATCAATGCTAAATTCATCCGGTCTAGGACTTCTATCTCCCCGGCAATTAAACACCGTGTTTTTGATTTCCTCTTACCCAAACGGTACTTCTAAAGACAACCTGTCCAGCTCAGAACTCTCTTGAATCTATTCTCAAAATAAACCTTCACAGCTTTCTTTACACCTTCAACATCCTCCACAACCTGACCATTGACACACACATAAGCAATTATGTTCAAATTGCAACACTACAAGAAACATTGTATTTTCCCAAGTGATTCCCACGTCACTAAGTTAAAAATCACTTCACTAACCACTATTTGCGACGTGGGAGAAACACGCCGGAAATGCAATGGTGGGAACTTTTTCCCACGTGAAAAATACGTCACAAAGTTGTGACATATTAACCACGTCGCAAATGACAAAAAAAGTAGAAAAGGTTCCACGTGAAAACCAAGTCACTAATTAGTGACGTGAAAATCATGTGGGACACAAGTTGAATTATTTTCCCATGTGACTCCCACGTCACTAATTAGTGACTTGGTTTTCACGTGGAAACTCACACTGAGTAAATATTTTTTCCATTTGATTCTCACGTCACTAATGAGTGACATGGGATGCACTTCACTATAAAATTTAATAATAATAAAAAAATAAATAATATTAACTGAAAACAATTATAAAATTAAAATAAATATTAAATATTAAATATTAAATTTAAAATAAAAATAATTTTTAATGTATAATATATATTCATTATTTTAAAATTATAATATATTCATTAAAGTATAATATATATTTACTATAATTTTATAAAGTATAATATATATTCATTATTTTTAAAGTATAATATATATTCATTATTTTTAAAAATCTGTTTTTAATAATTGAATGTGTAAAAATAATGTATTAAATGTGTTGTTCTGTTTTTAACATATTTACTAAAATAAAATAATATATATTATACTAAATCTGTTTTTAATAATCTATTTTTAAAAATCTGTTTTAAAAATCTATAATATATATAATTAATTTACTAAAAATAACACATTTAGTACATATTTATTATTTTTTAATAAAAATACTTTTTCAAAGAATAATACATTTAAAAATAACACTTTTTAAATATAATACATATTCTCTATATTTTTAAAATATATATATTAATTTTTTCTATTTACAATATTGTTTACTAAAAATATTTTTTAAAATTCTATTTTTTCTAACATAATAAATATTCTGTTTTTAAAAATTAAAAATACATAACATATTTAATTTATTTCTAATATATTATTTTTGTTTCTTATAAATATTCTATTTTTCTAATTTGTTTCTAATAACATATTATTTTTATTCTATTTTTCTAATAAATATTCTATTTTTTTAATTTTGTTTCTAATAACATATTATTTGTTTCTAACATAAAAAAATATTCTATTTTTTTAATTAAAAATACATAATATATATATATATATATATATATATATATATATATATATATATATATATATATATATATATATATATATATATATATATATATATATATATATATATATATATATATATATATATATATATATATATATATAATTTAAAATTTCCTAATCAATATTCTAAAATAATATTTCATATATCAAATATATAAACAAATTGTAATGCAAAAATACCTCTCAAAAAGAAAAATGTAAAATAAATGGAACTTGCGACGTGAGGAACACGTGGGAAGGTACCCGCGTGCCACGCCGGAACAAAAATCAACTCAAACCATTTGTGACGTGAAATAGGGTCGTTCTCCGGAACAAAAATCAACTCAAACCATTTGTGACGTGAAATAGGGTCGGAACGGTCACGGTTCATTCATGTGTTTGTCTTATTTTTGTGACGTGAAAAGCATGTGGATATATATATATATATATATATATATATATATATATATATATATATATATATATATATATATATATATATATATATATATATATATATATATATATATATATATATATATATATATATATATATATATATATATATATATATATATATATATATATATATATATATATATATATATATATATATATATATATATATATATATATATATATATATATATATATATATATATATATATATATATATATATATATATATATATATATATATATATATATATATATATATATATATATATATATATATATATATATATAACCAAAAAAAATTTAAAATTCTAAAATAATATTTCATATATCAAATATATAAACAAATTGTAATGCAAAAATACCTCTCAAAAGCTTCCAATGGAACTCCTTAATCAATATTAGATCTGGAAACAATTAATAAAAAGAAAAACCTAAAATAAATGAAACTTGCGACGTGGTCCCGCGTGCCACGCCGGAACAAAAATCAACTCAAACCATTTGTGACGTGAATGGGGGGTCGGAACATTTCAAGAATTTGCGGAACATTCCAAGAATTTGCGACGTGGGAATAGGGTCGGAGAATTTGCGACGTGGGAATAGGGTCAGAACCGTTTCATTCATGTGTCTGTCTTATTTTTGTGACGTGAAAAGCATGTGGGTAATTTGTGACATGTTTTGTGACATGCTTATCGCGGAACATTCCAAGGATTTGCGACGTGGGAATAGGGTCGGAGAATTTGCGACGTGGGAATAGAGTCGGAGAATTTGCGACGTGGGAATAGGGTCGGTCGGAACCGTTTCATTCATGTGTCTGTCTTATTTTTGTGACGTGAAAAGCATGTGGGTAATTTGTGATGCTTATCGCGGAACATTCCAAGGATTTGCGACGTGGGAATAGGGTCGGAGAATGGAGAATTTGCGTCTTATTCTTATTTTTGTGACGTGAAAAGCATGTGGGTAATCATGTGTCTGTCTTATTTTTGTGACGTGAAAAGCATGTGGGTAATTTGTGACATGCTTATCAAGTGGGATATTTTTGTAAAAAAAAATAACTTTTGAATTTACAGTTCCCGTGTGATTTTTAAACATTTCAGAGTTACAAAATTTATTAATTAAATAATTTAGTGAGAATTACAAAATTTATAATTTAGTGAGAATTACAAAATTTATTAATTAAATAATTTAGTGAGAATCACTTAGTAACACTTTTTTCCTAGTGAGAATTACTAAATCACTCACTAGGGAAAAAAAAAACTAAATCACTCAGGGTTAGTTTTCACCCTATTTAATTAGGGTTAGTTTTCTACTCCTATTTCTATGGCATTTTAGTGATTGAAATCCACGTAAAGAGAGGAGATTAGTGATTGAAATCCACGTAAAGAGAGGAGATTTTCCATTACATTCTTGAAAAGTATTTAAAATTATTTTTAGTATTAAAGAGATAGAAATATGGAGATTTTCCAAATAATGTTTAAAGATGAGGTTTTGGACTTGAAATTGGTGTTGCATAAAACAATCGTGGTGAATTGGTAAGAAAGACAGTAATTTGGTTTATTGATAGTTTAGTAGGAGGTTGATTGTAAATGGGTTGATACCCCTAATACCCTTGGAGATATGCAAAGTTTTGCTTATCAATAAAAATTTAATTGATCATGCACAATTCTTTAATTTGAATAATTTTTCAAACATTAATAATCTTTAAATAATATATTTCAAAATAAATTTTATTTTAATCTACAAAAAATAAATCTCATGTGTAATTGTAGAGCTTTCAAGTTTTCTGAACTACCCTCTGTTCTTCACGAACACTTCAAATCTCATTTTACAACACTTCAAAAAGAAATTTATCGTTACTAATGTTCTCAATAATAAGCTGACAAGTGTCGATTTTTTCAGCTTCCTTGTCTGGGATTTCAAGCTTGAACTCTTCTTGTAGTGTCTCTAAGCTGTCCAAACCCAAATCCTTCTGAAAAAGCACTTCTGGAGTCACCTGAGAAATTATGAAAATAAAAAAATCTATATGTCATTTGCATTGCTTAGGGTTTATAAGAAATCAACATCTGTGTAGAGAACAATATTTGTACGCAAGAGAAAAGAAGAGACCTTGGAAGGATCGACTTTGGGAAAATCTTCGACGACAGAGAGTACCGGATCGACGAGTTCTTCTTTCGCGATAGGATCGTCGTGTGAAGACATCGAGCGAAAGGAACCATTCCATGGTTGCAATTTAGGAGTAGCTTGGAGTGGCAAGCGAACATGGCGGAGTATGGCTACTCTCAGTGCCATTTTTCTTCTCTTTCGATCTCTCTCTTAGCAAACAAATGAGTATTAGAAGAACTGGTCACAAGCACTATAGAGATTAGGGTTCGAGGTGCTTACATATATATAGTAGTTATAACAAACCATAAACCCTATTCTATTGGTTACTTCCATAAAACATGATATTTAAATAAACAATAATACCTTAAATATCTATAGCCCTAATCGCCAGTTTTCTACCGATTTTTTAAAAAGTAATTTTTATTTTATATTTTTTAAATAATTTTTATGAAAATGCATTTTAAAATAATTGAAATTAATTCAAACTCAAATTTAAAAGAATAATTCTAATGTTTAATAGGTTAAATATTTATTATCAAAGATTATATTATAATATTTTTATAAAAATATTCCTTTCAAACTGATTTTAATCAAGAACAATTAGAAATAACTTTTTATTTAATTTTAAAAAAAAATGTTATCATAGAAAAAAATTAAGAAAAAAATATCTAAAACTTTTTAATCAAAATATTTTTATTTTTTAAATATATATAATACGATAAAAACTATTTTTTAAATGTGTGACAAATGAAATCAATTTATTGAAAATCTATCTTTTTAATGAAAATTTAAAATCAAATTTATATCTTCATTAACATTTCATTGTATGTACATGACATCTTGTAAAAAAACATGTAGGCGATATTTTTATACTTTTTATTTGTTTATTTTTATGGTTTTTAAGAATAATTTAAAGTTTATTTTAGACCTCCAAATTCCATAGATGAACCCTAGACGCATTTAATAGTCTATTGCTAATAAACTTTCAAAATTTTGTTCAACTATCTATTTTTAAAAATTTCAAAATATTAAATTTCCCATCTTAGAATTACATAATTCCAAGCGTGATTTCTTAATCAAATTTAATCCAGACTTTATGCAAGTTGTTTTTCTTCTTTTGCTTTTCTTATCTTTCTGTCTTGTATTTAGGATTTACTAAATGTTCAAGTATAATTGTGTTTATTTTCTCCTTGTTTAAGTAATGGAGAGATATCTCAATGTTTATTCTGAGTGTATAAGGTAAGGTAGAGTTACATCTAGGTCAAGAACATGAGACAAAATGGAGGAGTTGAAAATTCTCATCCTCAAACAAAGACACAAAAACAAGAATGATCATTACAATGGATATGAGATTTCACTTAAATTTCAATAAGTTTTTTATTTCGGTTGTGAAAGCAAGGTAACACAGGGTGTCATAGAAAGTGACTATTTTTTATAGACCATTGACGATTGAAGTAAAAGATTGTTTTGGTCATTAGTTTGATTCTCAACAGTAACATTTTTAAAATGGAACATGTTGTTTTCTCCTTCAATTGTTAGTTACATTTGAGATGCAATTTATTCTTTGTTAAATAAATGATTATGCTTTTATGAAATAGATAAATAAATTTTAAAAAAACAAATGCTTATACTTTAAAATAAATTTTATTTTGTTAAGGCCAAAGTGTCAAGAACGTAGTAAAGTGATAAAAGATACAAAATTTGAAAAGTCATCATTAATGTGAGGAATACACAAATCTAACATATTAACTTATGATTCCAATAAATCAGAGCATATAACCAATTCCCCTAGAAACAAATCTCATGCACTTTATGATGCAATGTCATCCATTGATGTCACTACCTTATAAGAACTTTATTTTTTTCTCTCTCTACTAAGGATGTATTTGTTAGTGTAAGCCCCAATAGCCAATATTGACTCTTTCCCGACCCTCCTTTGATAGCGTCGAAGTGGTGAGGAGGTTTTCTAGTATAATGTTGCAGATACGTCTTGTTGATTTCAGGTCAATGTCAAGTACGATTAACTTTCCAGCATTGTTGTAATATGATACTTTAAGGTGGAACGTGGAAGCCACGACATCCAACGTTGCATAAAAACACCTTTCAAGGATACCACCGAAAGCACTCACTACAACAAATAACGCTTTTTATATCAAAGCTAACACCTCAAACAATAGAAAAACGAAGGAATAGGTATTGGGAGCTTCCGCTTTTATTTTAAAAAAAAAAATTAAAAACCCTTTACCTCTGTTTTTTTTCCTAGAAAAACGAGGGAAAAGATCTACAAGGGAGCTCGCTTTGACATCCAGTCTTTGCATTTTTTTTTCCAGTTGTTTAGTTTATATTTCTCACTTGACGCCTTCCAAGTTCCATTTTTATCATTGTTATTTTCTATTAGTATTTACCTCGACTACATGACCCAGCTGAGAGGTAATATATTTTGCATTAATCAATTTCAAAATACTATTTTTAAAATATTATTTTAATTTTTTATTTGATATCTACAAACCCCTCGGTTATACTACAAAGTCGGCGTTATGTATATCTTAATTGAATTCGCATAATATAACGCTATTATGTTTTTTTATATTTGATATTTTTAATTAATATTGTCACATCAGATTGTATATAAAATCGAAGTGAAACATTTATTGCATGAGATATTTCAGACTACAATCTAGCTAGTTTCTAACTTTTCATTTATCTATCAACTCTCAAACGTCATTTCGTCACTCTCATTTCGCAAAAACCCTAGGCAATTTTCAGGTTGATATTCATTAAAACTCTTCCAATAGATATTCATCAAACGTCATTTTTGCAACAGGTTTGTTCTTCATTGAAACGAGTTATATATCACTTTTCTTTTCATTGATCATTTTGTCTAGGGTTTTATGTTAGTTTGTCTTTTGATCATTTTGTTTCTACGATTTTCCATTTGTTTTTATTAAAACGTTAGTTAGTATAATTTCTCTTAATCATTTTGAGGTTTATTTAGATAGTCATTTCGTCAACAAATATAATTTTTCAACAAATTTGTTCTTCACTGAAAAGAGTTATATATCACTTAAATGAGTTTATATCATTTTGTTTCTCACTGTGTGTCTCTTGATTATTTTGTTTCTATGTATTTGTATCTCGATAGTCATGGCTAATTCGACAAGCACCTCACATACAACATCTGCTGTAATATCGGTTAATACAAATCATAGAAGAAAAACTAGAGGTGCCTTGATGTATGCCAAGGTGAAAAAATCCCAAGAAACCGATATTCGTTATTTAGTTACAGTTGATGCTACAACCGGTAGGGCTTACGGAGAACACGCTGGCGATTTTATGGGTTACATTGTGTTACAAGGTAGAAGTAAAATGAGAATTTTGATTGATAGTCGGCACGATGTTGAAGATAAATTGAAAGACGCCATATGACAAGATGTTCGGGTATATATGATCATTTATTTTTTATTTAAACATATGATGTGTTCGTTGTTACTAACAACATCTCTATTGTGTAAACATAGGATGTGTTCATTGTTTGTCCAAATAATGATTATGTGAGAAAGAAGATGATTACATATTGTGGTGATCGTTGGAGGAGTTTTAAGACACAACTCACCCATGATTATATTAAACATGGAGAATATAAAGAAAAACCTTTATATGATGTGTATCCATTTATTGATCAAGATGTTTAGGAGAAATTCGTAGAGTCTCGTACCACTCCTGACTTTTGGGCAAAGATCCAAAAAGGAAAGAAAAATCAAGCTAGAAATATCTATCCACATAGATTATCTCGTGGAGGATATCGTAAACTTGAAAAGACGATGATCGAAGAAAAAAGAAAGCAAAGGGAGGAAGAGCTAGGAGGTTCTATAAGTCTTGATCGCACTCTATCTCCATCATCACACCAGGAGAAATAGAAGATGGCACGTCAGAGAAAAGACGGTGAGTTCACATCAGATGCTACACAAGAAGTAGCTCAAAGGACTATATGTAGATACTTTTTTTAATAATATTTATTTTAGTTAAATCAATTTGCTAAAGATAGGATGATCTGATTGAACAAACTGAAGTCGGCCTCTTCACTTCACAAGATCGTCATGACATCTTGGTAAAAGCGATTGGAACCAAGGAGCATCCTAGGCATGTCTCTGGTGTTGGAAGAGGCATTGACTTCAAGGTTTTTTTGGACCACCTAAATCATCTAGTAGGAAAACTCGTAAGAGAGAGATTAAAGAGATCATTACTTTTGAGTTGGAGAAGGAAAGGGAGAAGCATGATAGAAAGTTGAAGGAGGATATGAAGAAGTTTGAGGAGGAGAAGAAGAGGTGGGGGAGGAGCATAATAGGAAGTTAAAGAGGGATAGGAAGAAGTTTGAGAAGGAGAAGAAAAGGTGGAGAGAGGAGCATGATAGAAAGTTGAAGGAGGAGAGGGAGCGATTATTGCCGACGGTCCGGGAGAGTGTCCAGAAGTAGCAGAAGGAGCGAGAGAGGATGACTGAGGTAAAGGTGTCCGAGAAGTGAACCCACGATGTGCTTGAGGTATAAGTTGTATGTTGTTGTTATTATTGTTTGCGTATTTTAATTTTGAATTGTATTTATGTTGTTTTTATGATACAAAAATTGAATTTGTTGGGTCTATTAAGCTACACAAATTTAAATAAGTTGGAAATTCAAGACAGTGAAGTTTAGAAAATTACAGGTGGTACAAGCGCGAAAGAAAGTTTTTCTGCCAACCAGGGTAGTATTGAACCCACACCGTCAAGAGTAGATAACGTTAAGAGACTAAGAATGATCGTTGACGCTCTTCTAGACACATTGTTGGGTATTAAAATATGTCATGATCCATAATAATTATTCATGCTTTTTAGGACTTCTGTCCATGAATTTTTATCGGGAAATATGTACATAAACAACTCCATATTACAAATTTAGTTCTCATAAGTATAGTTTTTATGTTGATCTCTATTTATATGCATATGTCCTTCTACTTTAATATAAAGATTTTCTCTTGTAGGTACATCCATAACTTATGTGTTGAAAGGAAACTTCAAAATAGGTATTGTATCTTAGATCCGACGCACATTGGTCTTACACGCGGTTCGACAAGACACAATATTCATAATTATTTAAAAGATAAATGAAAAGGGAACGCCAAAGATTGTTATTTGGCCCTGTTTTATCGGAAGT